CAACCTGCTCCAGGAGATGGGAGTGATAGAAACAGACCATAGGCATGCGCTTTACCTGCCTCAGGCATCTCCAGGTGCAGGATGTCTTTGAAGTCAATGTTTATCCACTTGCAATTTTTTCTCCTAAATGCTGTTCCTTTTCTCTTCATTCAGAAAAAGACAAAAGGAACCTTCCATCCAGATCCACGTGAATCTCTCTGCTGCCTTGTTTCTTCTCAATGTGAACTTCTTAACCAGCACAGCGTTCAGTTTCAGCAGCACTGATGAGTTCTGTAAAGCCATTGCTGCCCTGCTGCATTACTCACTGCTTTGTAGCTTTACATGGATGGGAATTGAAGCATTTCACCTGTACCTTATGCTGATCAAGGTGTTCAACACTTACATTCGTTTTTACATGCTGAAACTCTGCCTTCTCGGTTGGGGTGAGTGCAAAGTAATCTGTTGCTGACTTATTTGTAAATGCATGGTCTAATTCTCACTACCTCATGTAGCAACAACATTCATTTCATTTTACACGAAAAAGAGCTAAAGTATAAAACAGTTATTCTTTAGGGGTTCTTGCTGTCTCTGTCAAAATAACAGGAGGAAATCTCTGTGAAATTTCAAGTGTGATTAAGGATCAAACTTGGTGAAGGTGGGAAGTGAACAGATTCAGACCCAGAGCAGAACACTGAGAATAAAAGTGATTTTTGATAGTCCAGGTTTACTTCCGGCTGGTAATGAACACAGCATGAAATATCCTTGATATGTAGCCCTGAGACAGCAACGATCAAAAGAGGTCATCCCCTCTTGCGAGAGTGGAATTAATGGTGCTAATAGATAGAGTGTTTTTTGTGATTAATTGGAGAGATTTCTGCAGCAATAAACTATTTCGCTGATTGAAAGCTGCTTGTTAGGACTCTAAATTCAGTGCTGAAAGGTCAAGGGTGAGGCACCCCAGAGTCATGACTGAGAAGTTTCCTTCAGAGCGCTGCCACCTTCTTGTTGCCATAGCAGGAATTGAAGGATTCTGACAGCAGATTTCACTTTGCAATCTGTCACCACTCTCCATAACAGACCAGGCAGCTCATATCCGACTGTACTCACATTCTCAGCAGAAAAACAGTCAGAGGCAGAGGTCAGCTCCATGCTAGGCAGGAGCCCCTACTGAATGTATAGTATCCAGCCCAGCAAAATCTGAAGTCTGAGTCTTAACGTCAGCGACCTCTTTGTTTGTCTGACACGCGAGTATACTGGAATCTAGAGGGGACTGAAATTCATATATACCAGCTACTTAGCCAGTGCTCTGGAGTGAATTCAGTAGCTTGTTATACACATTGTCAGTTTTTATTTTCTGTGCATTTGAAAAACATAACCAAGAATTTTCATTTCAAGCTAAACGAAACAGCATTGAGACAAGGAAACCCCTCTCCAAAAGCAGGCTGAACTCTTGCTACGCAAAGTTAGTACTAAAATATTGCTTAAAGTAGACACAGGTTGAAACAAAGGTAGTAGGAACTGCAGATGCTGGAAAATCTGAGATAACAAGGTGTAGAGCTGGATGAACACAGCAGGCCAAGCAGCATCATAGGAGCAAGAAGGCTGACGTTTCGGGCCGAGACCCTTCATCAGGTTGAAACAATTTCCTTTTGCACTCATCAGGACTGGGATGCAAGAAACCAATGTTGAGAAAGAACCATCAACTTATATAGCATGAAAAGCTGGTGCTGATTGATGGGACCCGTGTTCAGGATATAGATGTAGCAGTAACTCATAACTGTTACTCTTAGTTAGTTGCTTAAACTAGACCAGGCAAGCAGACTTTGATTAGTCAAGGAATTGTCATGGATAAAACAGCATGGATTGACAATTCCATAACCCTTTCTTCAATGATGAAGATACAATGTATGGGCAAATATCTTTTTTCTACAAAGAATAGGGTCCTATGTGTGAATCAATATCGCTTCTACCTCATGAAACTAAATCACACTGCGAGCCTGATTAATAATATTAAATCGGTTTTGAGTGTAATTCTTGGCATAGTTCAAATTATTAATAGATGTTATCCAATAGAAATCATAGAATAATGTCAGTAATGTTTGAAACTATGACCATTTGTATTCCCAGGCCTCCCAGCTGGCATGCTTTTAATCATCATTGGAATGAACATGGATAATTATGGCCGATATTCAATTCCTGTCATTGGCAATTATAACCCTTCTCACATGTATGTTTTAATAATTTAATTTTTAAAAAGTTACTGACAAATAGAATAATGCAGTACAGAAAGAGACCCTTTGACCTAACATGCTTGTGCAGCTCCTTTGGTAAAACTGTCCAGTCATCCTTACTTGCCTACTCTTTCCCCATTACTCTCTACATATTGTCTTACCTCTGGAAACAGTCTATCTTTTGTATTGTTGAAGAAAGACACACCTTATCAAAGTTTCTGTCTTACATCCGTCAGGACGACTTGCAAGAATACCAATTTTACGGGACAACAACATTTATACTATAAGAGAGGAGGCTAGTCATTGGTAGTGGGTAAACTCTGTCTGGGAGAGGCAATACCTTAGGGAAGTTAATGATTACTATCAGGAAATAGAAGGAAGGGAGAAATTGAAGGAAATCACAGTCAGCAGAGAAATGGTACTGAATAAATTATTGGGCCTATGGGCTGACCAGAGCTCGGGTGCTGATGGGCTCCATAAAAGAAGTGGCTAGTGAGATGATCAATGCATTTTGTCTTAATTTTCCAAAATTCCCATATTGATCACCTTATTTCCAAAAGGATGTAAATCTGTTGGAGGCAGTTCAGAGAGGTTTTGTCAGGACTGATATGCGAAATGAGAGGATTGTTTTGTGAGGAAAGGTTGGACAGGGAAGGCAATGGCCTAGTGGTATTATTGCTGGACTGTTAATGCAGAGACCCAGGTAATGTTCTGGGGACCCGGGTTTGAGTCCCACAGATAGTGGTATTTCAATTCAATAAAAACAATTTGGAATTGAGAGTCCGACGATGACCATGAAACCATTGTCACTTGTTGGGGAAAAGCCCATCTGGTTCACTAATGCCCTTCAGGGAAAAAAAAACTGCCATCCTTATCTGGTCTGGATAACATGTGACTCCAGATCCAGAGCAATGTCATTGATTCTTAAGTGCCCTCTGGGCAATTAAAGATGGGCAATAAATGCAATGCCCTCATCCAGTGAATGAATAAAGAAAAATCCACTGGAGTTTAGAACAGGGGGAAGTGACTTGCTTGAAAGGTAAAAGGGAACCTGAGGGGGCTTGACAGGGTACATACAGAGAGGATATTTCCTTTACGGAAAATCTAGAATCAGCGGTCATCGCTTATAAAATCAGGTGTAACCCATTTACAATGGAGATTAGGCTGTTTTTTATTCCCTTTCAGAGGGTTGTGAGTCTTTAGAACTCTCTCCCAAAGGAGATGGTGGAAGCATTGTCCTTGAATCTTGTTAAGACAATGATAGACATATTCTTGTTAAGGAAGGGAGTGAACGGTTATCAGCAGGAGGCAGGAATGGCAATTTGATTTTGCAATCAGTCTATTTATTGAATAGCACAGCAGGTTTGAGGAGCTAATTGGCCCACTGTTATTCCTAATTCTTATGTTTGCATGGTTCATATACCAAGCCTTGTTTAAATGCCAATTCAGGCATGGTTGACTCTGGTTGGTCATGGCATTGCCCTGAGAAATAAACCAAAGAATGGCAGTTACCCATTTTGTTGAGTTGAAATAGGCAAGTGGTGTACATGTTCTTTCTGTCTGCAGAGAACAGGGCATATAGGTTCAGGAACACATAATGAGCCCACACTTGTAAAACTCACAACATAACGTCCAACATTAGATAAGTTTCTGCAATTGGACAGCATATGCTAAATAATCCAGAGTGTGCAAAGAATTGTGTTGACAACCAATGTCCGAGTCAGCAAGCTCACACTGTGGTATACCTGCTACTGTTACTTTGAATAACTCAATCAAGTTAGTCAAATGCACGTTTTTTTTTTCAAATGACTTCCTAACTTCCACTTATGAACCAATACTCCAGTAAATACCAATTCCGTTTTGTCCAAAACATTGTCCATAAAGATTCACATCACTGACATTAACTGCCCGGCCTGTAGTAACTGGGTTTATTCCAGCTTCTGTTTTAGACAGGGCTGCAACATGAGCAATCCACCAGTATCCTGACATTGCTCCCACATCCAAAGAGAAGAATGGGACTACAGCCGCTGCTAATTTCTACCCTTGATCTCATTGGTAATCTAGAATGCATCCCATCCGGACTGGGCAACTTTTCTTGTGATAATTATTTGCCTCCTTTTTATCAAATCCATTCAGCTGCTGCAAGTTTGAAACGACAGGAGGTGTGAATGAATCTCCTTGAGATTTCGTCTACTGTCCACCTCCATGGGACTTCCTTCACTTGACTGCTGTTACCTACCATAGCCAGAACACTTCTAACAATGGCTTCCCTCACTAACCTGTGACCTTACCCCTGAATCCAATTGTGGGTCACCCTCTTGAGCTAGGAGTTTGCTGACATTATTGTAAAAGCAAGTCTACAAAGATTGAAAGCATCATTTTGGCCCCAACCACGACCTGTGTCCCCTCACCACTGATTCTATTCCCATCCCTGGCTGCACAGCCTCAAGCTGATCTTTAAAATTTTGGTCTCTTCTATCACCTCAGGTTCAGCTTCTGACTGCAAATGTTTCCCCTCACAATATTCTGTACTTGTACCTCCCCAGGCTCCCCCGTCCTCCTCAGCCCATCTGCTGCTGAAACCCTCACATATCTGCGGTGCCCTCAGCCTTGACTACTCCAATATTCTTCCAAACAGCTTCCCTTTCTCCATCTTCCGTGTCCTTCAGCTCATCAAGAGCTCTGCAATCATTTCTCCTTCTGCAACTAGTCCTAATTATCCACTTTCGCTTGTTCTCACTGATCTACACTGACACTTTATCTTCCTCCTTCTCAGATTTAAGATTGTAATCCTCATATTAAAAGCTCCGTGACCTTTCCCCTCCCTATATTGTTGGAAATACCTCCCTCCCTACAACTCCCCTGAACTACCATTTTGAGCATTCCTTACTCCCGTTGCCTCACCATTTTCTGGCATTGCCTCGTGAAGACCCTTCAACTTGCTTCTATTCTTCACTAAATTCTGAAAATCACCAAACGTTTGACCATACCTTCAAATGTCTCCTTAGGTTTTTTGTTTCATTTTTATTCTCATGTTTCTGTGAAGCACCTTTGCTAAAAAATATGAACTATTGCAGGCCACTTATAAATCCAACTTATTTTTGTATATACAAACAAAAATTGAGAGTCACCAATCCTGTTTAAAGATGTAAATAAGTTTTTGAAAATTGTCGTGTAGAGCTTTCTTTCTTATTCCCTCAGTCTTCACTTTCCAATAATGCCTTGGCAAGTGTTGAAATCATTTCATTTATTTCATTCACTTTATTTTAGCTCCTGACTTTTAACAGTATTTTTGGAGCAATTCATATTAAAAAGCATTTACATTTGTATTTCCTCATTGAATATTTTGATCCATTAAGAACTCAAGTTTGAGAATTTTCATTTGTCAGCATAGAATGTTTGAAAGGACTCTCTAGACCAAAAACTACTATTGGAGAGAACAGCCACAAAAGTTTAATGCATATTCAACATTCCTCTGTTTACTATTTTCCCTGAAACATTAAACTATTTAATATAAATGAGTCACTTCTGATGATAAAACAGCAGCCAGCAAATGGTATTGAACATCAACTCAATGATATTCACCTGTCATTTCTCAGCTTCTGTCGAACAGAGAATGCGTGAATGGAGTTGTAAGTACAGCTTGTGATCCAATATAAGTCACACTGCTTGAATCATTAATCCTTTACATAGTAAAACTCATCTTTATGCCTTGTACAGGCAGCTAGTGCTTTGACTGTATTGCTGACTTAATTAACCCTCAGGGTAAATTCACACGTTATTTAATTCAATTATTAACACCCTCAAATTGTTTAATTAGTTAATGATTTTGTGAAAAGACTGCAAAAAGAAATGCTAAATGAACACATTAACCAGTAGCTGTTAAAATAGTAGGCAATACAATCAGAGTTAAATGTTTTTTCTGCATGTAAATGTAAAGCAACTACAGAGCTGCTCTCTAATTAAACAGATGAGTGGTGGTGGCTTAACCTGAGGGTCACTATGTTTAAGGTCAGGGCTGAGAAAGAGAGTCCTTCATAGTAACCATAGCCTGTGTGGGAATTGAACCCATGCTGTTATTATCATCTTGCATTGTAAACAATCCAGCCAGCCAACTGAGCTAGCTGACCCCCTCCTCCCTGTGGCAGAAGGATTGACCAATTGAAATGTGCACTTCCCCATTTGGGTGAATGTGACACCATCACCTCTTTCTGCATAAACTCTTCTTGGGATATTTTTATGGATCGTAATTAAAATATTTTATGTCCTCTCAACAGGTGTTGGATAAAAAACAAGACAGTGCATTACGTTACAAATGTTGCATATTTTGCACTTGTGTTCCTGGGTAACTCTATCATGCTGCTAATTGTGTGTGTGAAGGTGTTCAGATTGAAAGGGAGAGATAGAAAGAGTGTATTCACTGTACTCGGGTTGACGTGTCTACTGGGCATTACCTATGGCATAGCTTTCTTCTCACATGGACCTCAGAGTGAACCTGCAATGTACCTGTTCTGCATCCTGAACCCTCTCCAAGGTCAGTCAGATTATTACCGGTACTGTATGTATTGACTAGACCTGAAGTCAAAATAATATTTTTTTCAAGACTTTCTTCTCAGCTTGCTCCCAATTGCAGCCACTCTCTCCCCTTTGTGAACATCTCTCTACTTTATAGATTTTCCCATCCTTTCCCGTGAATTCTACCTTTGCACCCTCTCTCCCCCTTTGCATGCCTTCTCCCACTGTTGCAAGATTTTTGTCCCATTTGCAACCTCCAGTCACCAAACCTTACCCCCGCACCTGTCTCTGTCCTCACTTCTCCCTCCCCAGCCTCACAGTGCATTCCCCATCCCTCTTCCATCCAACAACCTTGCTCCAGGTCACCAGCCTCACCCAGCTGCCTCTTGTCCCTCCCATAGTCCCTAGCTTTGTTACCTCAGGACCCCCACTTCCTCTGGCCCGACAGCTTTGCTCATTGACGCCACTCACTTTCTCTAAGTTCCTCCAGTCAGAGGCTGTTTCTCTGCTGTTCTCTCTGCTTTTTGGAGAGACCCAGTCTGTGATTGGAGGAGGAGATCTTTGCTGATTCTGTCCATTCTACATACAGGGATGACTTTTCCCTGAATGGTCACCCCTGTGATTGAACTATTTCGAGTGTTTCTAGGAGGGGGTTCACCGAACACCTCTGTGTATTTTGAACACTGGACCATTGGTCATATCCCCACTTATCAAATGCTCAAACTCTGTCGTGATATACATTAAGTTGAAGTCTCATGATTCTACACCAGGAGACTATAAAACGGGCAAAGCCTGGGCCAGTCTGGGCATTTAAAGAGTGTTATAAAATTCTAATAGTACTCGACTGGCTAGATGCAGGAAGGATGTTCCTGTTGGTCAGGGAGTCTAGAACGAGGGGTCACAGTCTAATGGGGTAAATAAGCCATTTCGGACTGAGATGAGGAGAAATAACTTCACCCAGGGAGTGGTGAGCCTGTGGAATTCAGAATCACAGAAAGCAGTCGAGGCCAAAACATTGTCTGATTTCAAGAAGGAGTTGGATATAGCGCTTGAGAACAGAGGGATCAAAGGATTTAGGGGAAAAGCAGGCATAGACCATTGAGTTGGGTGATCAGCCATGGTCAGAATGAATGACAGAACAGGCTTGATGGGCCGAATGTCTACCGCTGCTGCTATTTTCTATGTTTCCATGTCATTGGTAGAAAGGAGAGAGAAATTCATCAGACCACCATTCTTGGTATGGAAAATAATAAATCAACTGCATAAACACTAAAAATAATCTCCTAATTTACATTCATTAATGGACCAATATGCCTTATTCTGGACTATCAAATTAATGTAGGCCATCTTACAATTAATTATAAAGCTCTTTAATGAATAATCACTTAAAATATATTTACGAATGTTAACATACTTTATATAAACACTGAAACTAGTTCCTGAAATGGTTTGTTTTGCTTGCAGGGTTTTTCATATTCCTGTGGTACTGCATGTTAATACGATCACCCAATCACACAGTCAGCAAGACAAGTAACAATACAACCATCTAATGAAGACAACTGAAATGTGCACCCATCTATTTCTGAATCACAATGTTAAACTTTCATCTTTAATTTCCCAGCACAGAGCAGCACACCAGGGACGTATTCAGGGAATTCTACGAATGCCCCATAAGCTTCCATCACGGTTAGAAAAAGATGTGGGTTATGTACCTGAATTCCTGGTGTGCCCCTGAAGCTGTGCACTGGAAGAACCAAAGACCAAAGAAAGTCACCCCTTCCATGTGCACAGATTTCCTACCAATTGAGTCCAAACTGTGTTCATGCTGTTTCAGCTGAACATGATACTGAAGCTGTCAGACATTGTCCAAGAATGTTGCAGCCATATGCCAAAAGAGTTAGATGAGAAAGAGGAAGGCTCATGTGCAGCATAATCAGTGGCACAGCCCTGTTAGCCTGAATGGCCTGTTTTGTGCTGCACAGTCTATGCTTTTCTATTTAAGATTGCAGCGTCTTTCTTTTTTGATACATTCAGAACCCACCTACATACTATTTTCTGTTTTGGTTTTAAACATATTTTAATGCAAAAAAAAACATAAGACTGTTTCAAAATTTTCTTTAATATACAAAATCTATTTCACTGAGAAGTTTCTTCTTTATGTTGCTGAATCACACATTGTAACAATTTTGAACATTTACATCTTGCAATGATTTCATTTGTATTTAATTATTAATCATGTTTCTTTCTCTCTCTCGCTGTAACTTGGGACCAATGTCCTGCACAAACCTTGCGACACTTTTATTTCGAAGTTTTAATGCGATTTACTGACTTGATCATTTATTTGTTGCTAGATTGATCGTTACTGACAGATTTATGAAGTGGAATTACTATGATAAAACGTTGTCTTATTTGATAATATTTAAGAATGCTAATGACTGGCTTGAAACCTCGCTTGTATTTTTTATTTGTTTATGAATAGTTATTAATATTCTTGGGTGAATAAGAACATACAAACCAGTTAGTTTAACTTCAGTGGTGGGATACCTTCTAACACAATAGTATGAGATAAAGTTAATAGTCACATGGACAAATGTGCCTTAATTGAAGAAAGCCAACATGGATTTCTTAAGGGAAAATCGTGTTTAATGACTTGCTGGAGGTTTTGAAGAGAAGCTGATGAAGGCAATGCAGTTTGTGTGGTTTATGTGGACTTCCAGAAATCATGTGATGCAATGCCACACAACAGACTTGCGGGCAAAGTTGTCACTTGTGGAATAAAAGGGACAATAGCAATGTCCTGTGGAATTAGCTGCATGACAGGAAACAGGATAGCCAGTAATTGATTATTTTTAAACCAATAGAAAGTTAGGAGTGTCCCATTGTTGAGAATTGTCACCCTTGGCCCATTACATATCAATGACCAAACCTGTATGTGTCCAGGGCACAATTCCAAAAGTTTGTAGGTGATACAAAGCTTGGGAGTGTGGTGAACTGTGAGGAGGATAGTATAGACTTTAGAAAGAATATAGTCTGGTTGGTGGAATGGGTAGATAGATGATAAATGGAGTTCAGTGCAGAGAAATGTGAATTAATTGATTTTGGTCGGATCCCAGATGCCAACAATAGCAGTACACCAGCATAATAATATTCATTATAGAATTATTAATATCTATTTATTATTGGTCAACATAAAATACTTCATGCATGCAAACAAAGGAACATACAAATAAGGTGCAGGATTAGGCCATTTGGCCCAACAAGCCTATTCAGCTATTTGTTAAGATAATTGCTGATCTGATAGCTTTACTTTCCTATTTACCATGTTCCCTTTGACTATTCATAAAGAAGCTATCTAACACAGTCTTAAACATAATCAATAACTCTGTGTCCTCATGGAAAAGATTCAACTTACTGACATCCATCTAAGAGAAATATTTCTCCCCATCTTTCTTTTAAATCAAAGACCACTTAGTTTTTATTCTGTGACCCCTGGTTCTAGATTTTCCCAGAAAGTAAAACATCCTTTTAGCAACCACTATGTCAAGATCACCTCACGATCTTATCAGTTTCAGTAGGATTACCTTTCATTATCTAACTTTCAATGAACGCAAGCCCAAACTGTCCAATCTTTCCTCATAAGGCATTCCCTTCATCCCAGGAATCAGTGGTGAACCTCCTCTGAACTGCTTCTAATGTAATTATATCCTTTCTAAGACAGGACAGCAAAACTGCAGTCAGTACTTTAGACTCCAAATCTGGTCTCACCAGTGACTTGCACACTGGTTACAAACTTCATTCCATTTACACTCGATTCCTCTTGCAATAAACGCCAACTTCCATTTGTCTTCCTGGTGATTTACTGGTCCTGACTACCAGTCTTTTGTGATTCACTTATCAGAGCACCCAAATCACTTTTTACCACAATGTTGTTCAATTTCTCTCTGTTTAAATATACTGGCTTTTCTATTCTTCGTGCCAAAGTAAACTAGTTCCCACATTATACTCCATATGGAACTTTTTTTCCCACTTACTTAACTTACTTATATCCCTTTCCATCTGCCCTATGTTCTCATTACAACTTATTCACTTTGCTATCTTTGTGTCATCAGTGAAAATAACAACCAGATTCAGTCCCTTTCTTGAATCGTTTATAAAGATTGTGAATGGTTGAAGCCTCAGCACTAATCCTTGTGGCACTCCACTAGTGACAACTTACCAATTGTAAAATGACTCATTTGTCTCTAATCTCCATTTCCTGTTCACTAACCGATCCTCAATCCATGCTAAGATGTTATCCCATACCTTAAATTCTTAGTTTATACAATAACCGTTCATGTGGCATCTTGTCAAATGCAAACAAGCTCCTTATATAAATGTATGTAGAGTCAATGTGGTGCTACCCTGAAAATCTTGCTGGCAGTCTGTAAAAATCAGTAGTGTTCCCAGTTGCCTCGTATTCTCATCACACGAAAAATCTCACCATATGTGACTGCATCATCTGGGATTAATACTATGCATCAAAAAGTAAAGCAATGTTTTTCCTAATCAGAATTGTTTTCTGGATGGAAGGTCAATGATTGTATCAGAATAGATTTCAATGGAATGAAACGAGAGAGGGTAAGCTCCAATTACTCAGTTACCAATCACGCAAAACACCTTTATTTCAGTAAATCCACAACACTCTGCCTGTTTCTTGTGGGGTTTGCACAAAAATCTACTTCACCTTCATATAGGAAATGATTATTTTGTTATGACCTTATTTTCTGAGAAATACTGACTTCTTAATGAAGCTATCATTCAATCTTGCCTGGGATTTATTGTGAATTGTGTTTGAAGAATATGTTTTACGAGATTTCAATGCTTTATTACTTTTATGATTACATATTAAAATGCAGATTAAAGTTTGAAATTGGCACCATTGCTTTGATTATTTTCAATAACTCAGGAGATTCGTCATTATAATTTCAGACTCAAATGCTGTCTTTAAACTCAGGCTATTCGTTTCAATTTCTTTTCAACACCCACCTGTCAGCCCCATGTATGAACATGCCCATAGTATAGTGAGGAGTATTATGTTGGGAATTGCACTGTAGCATTTCAGGGTAGGATTGTAGGACATTTAAAAAGTCTATCAACAATTCATGCCTGATCTCCATCTTGATGTGATTGCAATCTCAGATTGCAATCTTTGTGAGTTCTGTCTCTTTAGGCTGTTAAGACTTTCTGCAGGAAATTTCTGAACAAACCTGCTAGCTGCATTGGTAGAAAATAGTTAATCCTACAGTTATCATTTTGAGTTCCATGTTGAGTGATTACTTTTTCTTGGGCAAAAGTGTGCAATTGCTTTGAATTTTTGTTGATACTGAAATTTTCTAATTATTGAATTTCACTATTTACTGAATCATCGGTAGTGTGTTTCTCAGAGGGAGCAGTTGCTTGGTGATAAGTGGACTAAATGCAAGAACATGCTATTGCTTAAGGATTGCGCAGACCTAAAATACAGATAACTTAGGGCAGAAACTTAAGGCCTTAAGCGATGTAGGCAATGGCTAGAAATATCAAAAAATGTGGTGAGAATGAGAAAATCCGATTTGTACATCGAGAAAAGAATTTCCAACTTTCTCATAATGGTGAGATCTCACGGATGAGTGCTGGATGCCTTATTTCCATCTCATTTGCATCTCATTAATACCTCAACTCACTTCAATGATATGCAACTTGTAATCCTCCCCTCCTCTCTCAAGAAACTAAACAGCAATAATTCCCACCTTGAAAATCAGACCTGTTATGTTGCTGATGCAACTTACACTTCCTTCTCTGGGTTTAACATTCTCTTCATCAACATGCCCTTCAATATTTCAGCAACCGTGCCTCGTCTGCACATTCTCCATTGTAAGCAGCATCAGCAAACCACCAGCTTCATCACATTATCCTGACTAATCTTGGACCAACCAGTCCTTCAAAACTTCATTCTGGAGCTCAGTAACACCTTTGACTTTCATGCTCCTGCCATGCCAGTTTGTGCACAGGGTCACACAGCCATCTCATGTGTCTACACAGGACACATTGTAAGGGCTCGTAGCTTCATTTCTCAGCCCTCACACATTAATGCAAAAGATAAGGCTGAAACTTTCGCAGCAATCTTCAGCCAGAAGTGCCGAGTGGATGATCCATCTCGGCCTCCTCCATGGTCCCCAGCATTACAGACTCTATTCTTCAGTCAATTCAATTCACTCCACGTGATATCAAGAAACGGTTAGAGACACTGGATACTGCAAAGGGTACCAGCCCTGACAACATTTCAGCAATAGTACTGAAGACTTGTGCTCCAGAACTTTCTGCTCCCCGAGCCAAGCTGTTCCAGGAATTACAACACTGGTATCTACCCGACAATGTGGAAAATTGTCCAAGTATATCCTGTACACAAAAAGCAGGACAAATGTAACCCAGCCAATTACTGCCCCATCAGTCTACTCTTGATCATCAGTAAAGTGATGGAAGGTGTCATCAACAGTGCTATCAAGCAGCACCTGCTCAGAAATAACCTGCTCAGCGATGCCCAGTTTGGGTTCCGCCAGGGCCACTCCGTTCCTGACCTCATTACAGCCTTGGTTCAAACATGGACAAAAGAGCTGAATTCC